ATTCTTGACTATGAAATGGATAGAGAAGTGCCCATAATTTTGGGAAGGCCATTTCTTGCAACAGGCCGCACCTTGATTGATGTACAAAAAGGATAATTGACCATGAGGGTACAGGAAGAGCATGTCACATTCAATGTGTTCAAGGCAATGACATTCCCAAATGAGATTGAGGAGTGCTCAGCCATTTCAGTTGTTGACTCTTTGGTGGCAGAAAAGTTTGAGCAAGACAACTTTGAGAAAAAATGAGGAAGAAGTTGTTGAGCAAATAGATTGGTTGGAAGCCAATTCAACAATGCCGAGCTACACAAGGAAGTTTGAATCTTTGGACTTGGCTGAACGAGAACACAAGCCATCTCAGCCATCAAGCAAAGAACCACCTGTCCTAGAACTTAAGCCCTTGCCACCGCATTTGAGGTATGCCTACTTAGGTGCATCTTCCACCCTTACAGTCATTATTTATACCGTATTGACAAAGGACCAAGAGGAGAAGCTGCTCACGGTTTTAAGAGAATTCCAAGGGGCCATTGGTTGGACTATAGCGGACATAAAGAGTATGAGTCCCTCATTTTGTACGCACAAGATTCTTTTGGAAGATGATAAATAAGGGTACATAGAGGGACAAAGAAGGATGAATCCGATCATGAAAGAAGTGGCCAAGAAGGAGATAATCAAGTGGTTGGATGCGGGGATAATCTATCCAATCTCCGACAGTGCATGGGTGAGTCCAGTCCAATGTGTTCCTAAGAAAGGGGGGATTACTGTTGTAGAGAATGAAAAGAATGAGTTAATTCCCACAAGAACTGTAACGGGCTGGAGGATATGCATGGACTATAGGAAGCTCAATAAGGCCACCAGAAAGGATCATTTTCCTCTCCCCTTTATCGATCAGATGTTGGACATATTGGCGAGGAAGGAGTATTATTGCTTGTTGAATGGATATTCTGGATATAATCAGATTGTTATTGCACTGGACTATATGAGGCTTAATAAGGCCACCAGAAAGGATCATTTTCCTCTCCCCTTTATCGAGTTGGAGGATATGCATGGACTATAGGAAGAAAGGATCATTTTCCTCTCCCCTTTATCGATCAGATGTTGGACAGAGTGGCGGGAAGGAGTATTATGCTTGTTGGATGAATATTCTGGATATAATCAGATTGCTATTACACCGGAAGATCAACATAAGACCACATTTACTTGTCCATTTGGCACATTTGCTTTTAGAAGAATGCCATTCGGCCTTTGTAATGCTCCAGCAACGTTTCAGCGATGCATGATGGCTATCTTTACTGATATGGTGGAACAATACTTGGAGGTATTCATGGACAACTTCTCGGTTTTCGGGGAAAATTTTGATGATTGTCTCATTAACTTGGCCAAAGTCTTGAAGAGATGTGAAGAGACTAACTTAGTTCTCAATTGGGAAAAATGCCACTTCATGGTCAACGAGGGGATAGTGTTGGGACACAGAGTTTCAAAAAATGGCCTTGAGGTTGACAAAGCAAAGCTTGCTATAATAGAGAAGCTACCACCGCCGACCAATGTAAAAGGACTTAGAAATCTCCTTGGACATGCTGGGTTTTATCGGAGATTCATTAAGGATTTTTCAAAGATTTCCAAGCCTCTTTGCAGTTTATTGGAGAATGACAACCAATTCAATTTTGATGAGGTATGTATGGCAGCGTTTATGGACCTTAAAAAATGACTTATCTCAGCACCGATCATTGTGGCGCCGGATTGGTCCCTACCGTTTGAAGTCATGTGCAATGCAAGTGACTGGGTTGTAGGAGCTGTTTTGGGGCAACGAAAGAACAAAGTATTTCACTCCATCTACTATGCCAGCAAGACACTCTCAGTGGCTCAATTGAACTACACAGTGACAGAGAAGGAATTGCTTGTAGTAGTCTTTGCTTTTGATAAGTTCAGAGCCTACTTGGTGGGGACTAAAGTCATAGTCTACACAGATCACTCAGCCATCAAATACCTTGTGGAGAAGAATGATGCCAAACCTCAATTAATCAAATGGGTGCTCCTCTTGCAAGAATTTGACTTGGAAATCAGGGATAGAAAACGAACAGAGAACCAGGTGGTTGATCACCTATCTTGGCTGGAAAGACTGGATGTGGGTGAAGAATCTGTGATCATTAATGAAGTTTTCATGATGATCAGTTGTTTACAGTTGCCCAATCTCAAGTGTCGTGGTATGCAGCTTTTGTCAACTACTTGGTGAGACACTTCCATACCATCCTATGGGAATCTGTACATCTTTGTGGCAGTTGATTATGTGTCAAAATGGGTAGAAGCGGCTGCATTTCCCACAAATGACTCAAAGGTGGTGATGAACTTCATAAGGAAGCAAATCTTTACAAGATTTGGCACACCAAGAGCAATAATTAGTGATGAAGGGACTCATTTTTGCAACAAGTATTTTGCTGGCCTTCTTGCTCCATGTGGTGTGAGACACAAGGTTGCCACGAGCTACCATCCCCAATCCAATGGGCAAGCCGAGGTCTTCAACAGAGAAGTCAAGACAATTTTGGAGAAAACTGTTTGTCCCACAAGGAAAGATTGGTCCAAAAGACTTAATGATGTACTGTGGGCCTACAGAACAGCGTTCAAGACACCTATTGGCATGTCACCATACCAGTTGGTGTTTGGCAAAGCATGTCATTTGCCGCTCGAACTGGAGCATAAGGCATATTGGGCGCTTAAGCAGTTGAATTTGGACATGGGGGTGGGTGGCGAGAAGAGGTTTTTGCAGCTCAACGAGTTAGATGAATTCTAACTCTAAGCTTATGAGAATGCAAAGCTCTACAAAGAGAAGGTCAAACGGTGGCATGACAAGAGAATTCTGAGCATAACGTTTAAACCAGGGCAGCAAGTCCTCTTGTTTAATTTAAGACTAAAGCTCTTCCCTGGAAAGCTGAAATCTAGGTGGTCGGGTCCATTCATGGTATCCACGGTTTCAAACGTTTAAACCAGGGCAGCAAGTCCTCTTGTTTAATTTAAGACTAAAGCTCTTCCCCGGAAAGCTGAAATCTAGGTGGTCGGGTCCATTCATGGTATCCACGGTTTCCCCCCATGGGGCAGTGGAGCTGCAAGAAAACAACTCTGGGAGGAAATTTTTGGAGAATGGCCAACGGATCAAGCACTATTGCGGAGGTCCTGTGGATCGTTGCAAGACTTCAATCATCTTGCAGGAGGCATGAATCAGGGAAGTAGTCAAGCTGATGACTCAAAAACAAGCGCTTTTGGGAAGCAACCCACGAATTGTTTTGATTTGTTTTTATTTTTGTTCTACTACCTTTGCATTTCAGAAAATAGAGTACCAGAGACGTGAGAAAGAAGAAGAAAGAGAGCAGCTGAGAGGAAGACCCGAAGAGAATGACAAGGAGAAATTCTAGAAGATCCAAGTTCTAGCTTATCATTCTTTCTTCTCTCTGTTAGCTTGATTCTTCTGTTATTTTGATATTGATTAAGACATGGCATATTTTGAAAATCTGGAACTTGTAAATCTCAGTATGAACTAATTTGTTTAAGCTAGGCCTACTAATGGAACCAAGGTTGTAAGAATGGCAATTTGTTTATGAGATGCTATTGAGTTACTATTCATGTTCATTCATGTGTGTTAATGCCTATTTCTATTCTTGACTGGCCATCAATTATAGAATACAAGATTAAGATTAATACTAGAAAGGTTAGTTTTAATCGGATCCAACATGGATGATGCATGTTCAATAACCTTGTCTTAGTTCTTGATTAGTGGATGGTATAAGAATATATTATTCACCTTGCATAACTTAAAGAAACCTGAGCTTAGATCTGCATTCTGAGAACTGGATTTCACATAGGAATATGCTGGAAATGGTTTAAAGAATCTTAGTCATAATTAATTCGGAAGAATTTTATGCAGTAAAGGAGTTTCTGTTAACAGGGGTAGTAAATGTTGTAGCATTTCAGTAACACTTTTAGGCAGACTTGCAATTGAGGGAAAATTAGTAGACCTAGCTCATTTTCATCATTGATTTACAAACCATAATTACGTTTTTGCTATTTTTAGTCACTTTTAATTGCATTTATTCTGTATCCATCTTCTTCACTTCGTTTTAGTGAATTTTTGTCAAACTCATTCTTACTTGATTTGTTGATTACATAACTTCCCACACTTATTTTTAGTGATTCAATCTCTATGGGACGATATTTGTACTTTGGTACACTTTATTACTTGTACGATCTGTGCACTTAGGGATTCACACAACAACATACCTGCATGCCAACCTCAATAGAGATAGTTCTCGCTGATGCCACATCAATCCCGAGCAATCTAGAAAGTATGTAGCCAAAGAAGAATCCAGATGCGTGAAGAAGAGAGGCAGCAAGCACCACTTGCAGTCCAGACTTGAGGATTGCAGAAGAGCTCTGGGCAATAGCATTCCCGCAAAGAATGGCTACAGTCCCGACCGCGATGGGTGGCATCAGGGGGGAAATAAGTCTAACTAGGCCCTGGAAGTACTGATTTAGAAATGCACCGGCCAATACGGGAAGAAGCACAACCTGGTTCAAGCTTCAAAGCATGAATTATATAGTAAAGAAAATGATTACCCTGGTAGAAACTAGAAGTAGCAAAAAAGTATTAATACTTCACTTCACCTGCAGTGTTGAGACCAGTAGTCCAACTGCATCTACTGCTACATACTGCCCAGCGAGTTTCGCTGTGAGAAAGGGCGTCATGATCTGCATGAGAATGATTATTGAAGATGATCTCTTACTTGAAAGAGTGACAAGGAATATAGACTTTGGCAATCAGAAAAATGCTTTTATTGAAATAAAGAAAAAAAGGGGTTCATAACTTGAAGCAGGATGTGCAAGTGAAAATAATACTCAACCGACCATGGAGAGAAATATACTTGCAGGGAGATCATAAGTGCATTAGGTTAATCACCAATACTTGCTCTACTTAATAAGCTGAGAATTATAGTTTTTTTATTTTATTTTATTTTATTTTAAGAAAAATGGTTTAATAGAATCAGAAAGAACTTGAAACAAGGAGGTGTCCACTAATGTGATTTGTTGTGTGCGTTATTAAATGGGAAAGAACTTCGAGTTCTCCATCACTTCCTAAGTGGCGAAAGAAGCAGACAACTTCCCTGAAGTATTCGAAGAACTATAACAAACGTATGTCTTTCTACACAGCGAACTGAATACATTCTGAACTGTTCAACCAAACCTATATAAAGAAGACAATGCAGGAAGATGATAGCTATGTAGGTTTACCGACCACAGCTGTTAATGTGCTCGCTGCTGTCATTAAGACTGAAAGTGCGACATTTCCTCTGTTAAAACAAAATAGACCATTTAATCTCTGCGAGTGTCGGTTCCTTTGATCTTCGAGTCGACAAATTCTAATAATACAATTCTTTAAAATTCACATACCGAGCAATATAAGTGACGATGTTACTCGCCGTTCCTGCAACCGTTCACCCGAAACAAAATAACTAAAGGAGAGTCGAGAGATAAATCCATGTACAGTACGAGAAGAGAGGATGACATACCGCCTGGGCAGCAACCAACCAATATTAAACCAGCAGCATAATAAGATGGCAGGTTTAAAAGTTTGCTTACAACAAATCCAGATATTGGCATCACCTGCAAAATAATAATAATAATAATAATAATAAAATAAATAAAAAAAAATCTTCTCTGCTAGAATTAAAAAGAATGTTCAGCAAAACAAAGGTCTCTGCGAGGTTGGTATAGCACTATTTCTTACGGCATCAAGATGGCAGTGGCAACAAGAAATTTTGATGATCACAATTCACATATCGATATAGTTAGCCATTCGGTATTAGTTTTAGCATTCAACAAGGCATCATATGGCACCTTGACCTTTATAAGGTTCAAATTGTTGTTTGGTAAGTAACTTTGGATAACTTTATTTGGATTGTGCAACTGGCTTGAATTAGCTCAAAGTGAACAAATTTACACCCCTAAAAACCCATCTGGACCAATTTACTAAGTATGCGAATCTTTTTCCCTCTATATACATGTTTCAACACGAATCTGAACACAAGATTCATATTTTATTCTCTTTTAAATTTTACACTTTAACTGAATACGATTTTTTTCCCGTATTTAATGCAATATTTACTACGGTATATGAATTATTCTCCTTCTAATTTCATGTATGTATGGCAAGTCGGGGATTTTACACTTCAAACCAAAAGGGTTTAAACCGTCACCCTTTAAAGCCGCGCACAAAATAGATCTTAAAAATATAACATTAGTTAAACACTTATTGAGACCATCAAATTAATCAGTCGTCAACCACATGGTCGCTCATTAACTGTGTTTAAAAAATGGTAATTTTTCTAATTTAACAAAACATGAGACAACTAAAAGAATAATGCTAAGAGCAACTCCAACCATGTTAGCTATTTCATATTTTTAGCTAAAATAGCTAATAATATAGTTAGAGTTTAGTTTTTCTCTACTCCAACTATTAGTTAAATTGTTAGCTATTTTGGAAAATACATTTTACACTAACTAAATATAGCTAGCAAGAAGAGATTATTTGTATTATTTTATTCTTTCAAACAATAGTAAATGTAAAGGTTCTTTCTATATTCAATAAAAAAATTTATATTTTTAAACTCAATAAATATTAAAATAATCTATGCTTAGCTAAAATAGAGAGTATAGTTGGAGTGTATCACCAAAATATTATTAGCTAAAATAATTTTTTAACTATTTTAACTAAAATTTAATTAAAATTTAGAGAATTGACCGTAATGGGCCGCTCAAAAAAACCGAGCGCCGTGGAAATACATATCACTCAGTCAAAGAAAGATGATGGAGAATTGACCGTAATGGGCCGCTCAAAAAAACCCTCAGTAGATGTTAATCGTAAATGAGAAGATTGGTTACGTTGAAATGGATTCGCATTCACAGAGCTCCTTCAAGGGGGCTCTCTAAATTTTTAGCTAAATTCTAACTAAAATGACTTAAAAGTTATTTTAACTAGCAACTTTTTAGTGAGCGACTCTAACTATACTCTCTATTTAAAGTAAACATAAATTATTTTAATATTTTTTTTGAGTTTAAAACATACATAACTTTTTCTTAACTTTTATTTTATGTCAAAATAAATAATAAAATAATAAAAGAAATAAATAATTAGCCACTTCTTATTAATTATATTTAGTTAGTAAAATATATTTTTAACTAAAATAACTAATTACTTAATTAATAATTAGAGTGGAAAAAAGATTTTAAAAAAAAATCATTAACAATTTTAACAAGCATATTATTCTCAATTTTGTTTTAACTCACGAGTTGTCATAAATTGGTAGGCATTTGCACCTAAAGGACAAAGTTGTACATGTTTTGAAAAGGGCCATTTCCGGTATTTCAAAAAACAAAATTACTGGTCCTGCTAGGATATAATAAGAAAATGTATTTGGAAGCAAATTTTCCGCTGCAAAACCAGAACTCACAGAGTATTGAAGAACAAAACCAGCAAGCAATTCCTTGGGCATGGCCAAAGCACCGCGAAGGTCATCGAAAGTGAGGGTCATGCCCATGCCAAGCATAGTGAGTGTTATGCCGAGAACCGTCCATTCGGGCTTAACCCAGTCGAAGGAACTCGGCTTGACCAGCCCCAGCAAGCATCCCAGAGCCACCCATATGGGAAACGCCGTGGAAATCGCTTCACCGATCACTTCAATCCAATCCCTCAAACTCCGATCCGTATTCGCATTGTAGCTGTTCGACGAAATGCCGCAACGAACCAAAGTGGTCTCGTTATATTTCCTTTTCGTAGCGGCTTCTCTGCACAGAGCGAGACCACTCGGTTCGTTTCTGAGTAATGAAGACGAAGAAGATGGTTTGGTTTTTGAAAAACAGAGAAATTCTAGAACAGAAAGCTTAGTTTTTTGTGCTAAATTGGGTGAAAATCTTTCTGGGATTTGGACTAAATTGAAGGATCTTCTTCCATGAGAGCAGGAAAGTGAAGACTGCATTTTTGTTTTTTTGTAACTTCACTTCTGTTTTTTCTCTCTCTATCTCACTAATGGGAATCAGACGACTGGCTTTGCCATTTATATTTAATAGCTAAGCAGAATCTGTCGTTTGGTTCAGCTGGAAGCGCATGAATATTTTATCGTTGTTGGTCATGAACTTGGAGGCACTTTTGGATTTAGACACCATGAAATCTGGTAATAAACGAGAATGGGGGACCCACCTGATATATACCCAATATTATTAGGAGTTAATGCAACAAAAACAAATGGTGTGTGAGATTTACTTTAAATCTCATTTTAATTTTTAAAATGTCTCGCATTTAAGGTGGTCTTACTCGCATTTAAGGTGGTCTTACTCTATTTCAGTTTTGATAATTAATATGTTAAATATATAACAGTATATCTAAAATTTAGAAACTATATATGAAAATCAATTTTTCTTTTTTATATTTTTTTAGTCCCTAAACTTCAAATATTTTTAATTTAGGTCTCTAATTTATACAGATTTTGTTAAATATTTAACACTTAGATAATAGAAGAACCGAAGCAGAACTAAAGTAAAACTTGAGAGACTAACTATGAGACATTTTAAAAGTCAGAGATCAAAATAAATCTGATGATAAACCTAAAAAACTATTTCAATTTGTGAGATTAACCCTATTATTAACCATCTTTTTGGGACAAAAAAAAACTAAAAGATATTTTTGAATTCTAAAATATGGTAGTAAAGTGTTCTAGAGGTGTTTAGCATCGTCTTCCCTCATAATTTTTGGCTTTTAGCAATTTGTCTTTCAAACTTTTAAATTTGACAATTTGTCCTCCAACTTTCTAATTTGGTCTTGTTAAATTGAGAATATGTGGTTTTATACACATACCCTTTTTACTCTCCACACCTCTTTAGATTTATGTTGTGTTTGATAGGATGGATAGAAAAAAGAAATAAAGGAGAAGCAAAATACTTAAGTAAAGGAAATAAAATAATTTTCTCTCATGTTGTTTAGTAGAAGAGAAAGAAAAGTGAAAAAAAAGTTAAATCTAAGGTATTTTATAATAATACCTCAATGCAAATAAAAATATGATGAATGGTGAAGATTAAAATTTTATTTTACACCTCATTTGTTTGTCAAATTTTTTCTCTCATCTTTTCTTCCCAAGGATTAAAAATTGGTGGGCCTCAAGAATTTTTATTTTCGTTCCTTCCACATTTCCTCTCTACTAAACAATTTAAAATTCTATTTTACTCTCTAAAATCCTTCTTTTATAATCTTTTCTCTCTCTTTTCCACTCTACCAAGCACACTGTAAAAGTTTCTTATTACAAAAAAACTTTAAATAAAAGGACAATAGACTTAATTATATAATTCAATTTAATTACAAAAAAGAAACTAATGACAGTTTTTTTTTTCTCACTCTCCATACACCCCACATATTATATTCTCAAATTATAAATTATTATTATTTCAAAATCCATAACAAAATCCTATTTTTCACTTTACATAGAGATATGTTCGATTTTCTTTGCTATTTATTGCATGAAGATTTTTCTTTTATTTTTTATTTTATGTTTATATTTGTTTTTTAATCATTTTTTAAGCTAATTATTTCACTTTTTTTTTCGCTTTTCATACGGTTAGATTTGATCATTTTTTTCCCTTAATTCTTTTTTTTTTTTTTATGTTGCTTGTGCTCATGTGCTGTCTTATTGCACTTTCATTTGCCTATGTATCGGATCAATATGCAGTCAATATAATGCAACTCAGGACCTCAGGTGTCGTTTTTTCATTTTTTTCATTTATTATTTATTAGTTTTTTTTCCTGAATTGTTTATTTTGCAATTTTTTTTTTCTTTTCCAATGTTATTTGGGCGCTTTTTCACAGGAAGACATCTCTATTCCCAGTTAAAGAAATCCTCCTACTGAACTATTAAAAAAAAGAAAAAAAAAAAAAGACCCTCCCCAGAGCTTCAACAAATACATAAATAAATAAATTATAATATTAAAATAAGACCCTCCATGCCCAGAGCTTCAACAAATACATAAATAAATAAATTATAATATTAAAATAATAAAATTAATTTATGTGTGGTTTGTAGTTAAAAGAGGGCGTAGAGAGTAGAGATGCTGGTGTGGACACAAAAAAATGATTGTAAATAGAACTATCTTTAATAATTTTATGTAAAGAGAGAGGTAATTTTGAAATAAATAAGGGTGTGTAAAAAGAAAATTTAATTATTTAAAAATTATATAAAGTGTGTAGTTAGAAGGTGGTGTGGAGAGTAAAATAGGGACGTGTGAATTGAACCACCCATTGAGAATTTGAATTTAAAAGACTTGCATTAGGGTTTGAATTAACTTTGGAAATTTTTTGTTAGACACGAAATTTTTATGTCCTCACATGACGCGTACGTGGGCTTTCTGTCACCATTTTAACAGAAAACAAAGCAAAATAAGACAAATTACATCAATTTAGAATGTTCAAGAGTAAATTATCAAAATTAGAAATTTAAGAGCAAGTTACAAAAAGTTGAAAAGTTTAAGGGGCAACAAAGCTAAAAAACCATATACTTAAATCATGTTGAAATATTATAAATATCCTCAAAGTTTTATCTGATTAAAAAAATTCTTTGCATATATCTAAACAAAAAATTTAAAAGAATCTTTAAGAGATAAATTTTTAGAACATAAAAAATGGTCACAATAATTTGTATCGACGTATTATTTAAATGTTCTTCAACTAAAAAATAATTGTTCGGACAAAAAATACAAGAAACCAAAAAACAGAAAGGGCAAATGCATACTCTCCTACCTATTCCTTCGGCATTCAGCCCGGCCGACGTATTTCGTCACTACAAGAGTAAACTCAAGGGAGAGATCTGGGGAGTTTTCTGAGGAAAAAGAGAATTGAGAGAGGATAGAGAAGGGATTTGAGAAAGATTATTATCTAGCAAGTCATATTATGTTAAGTTATTTAAAAAATTTAATATACTTTTTAAATGATTTCTCTGTGTTTTTTTTTTCTAAAGCCCATTAAATGACTTGACATGTAATGTGGGGTGTCATTTTTAGCACAAAAATTGAACAATGATGCATTGCTATCTCCAATTAGGAAGCTCGGTAGGAATGGCAATGTTGCGGGGATGGAGGATGATTTTTTATGTCTATCCACACTATCCTAAACTATTCTCATCTCCGTCTTCATCCCCACTTAAGGAGCGGTGCGGTCGGAGTCGGGAGTTTCTTATTGGGGGAGCCTTCCTCATACCCGCCACATTCTCCATTTTATAAGATTATGCATTTTAAAATTATAGCAATTTAAAATAAAAATATAGTAGAAATTCATTATAAATTTAGACTAAAATTAAAAGTTTCATGATAAAAACTAAATTCTTAACATATTGCAAGCTAAATACAAAAGTAATAACTAACATATAAATAAAAAAAGTTTAACAACACCAAAATGTAAATGTAAATTATCCTTTATTGTTTATTGTTAATAGCTTCAATTTTTATTGTATGATTACACATTAATATGAGAATATGGGGACGGAGGCGGGTTCTCACCCAACCATGAATGGTGGACTAGATTTTATTCTCATCTTTAATAAGTATCTCTCATTCCTGCCCCATTTGAGGTGGGACCCCATTCCCTGTTCCTGCGATAAATATTGTTATCCCTAAAGCTCGGTCCTCAGCCATCTCCCATTATTGTCGTGATAATAATGTCTTCAATTATTGCTTATTTGGCCCCCAACTGCCAAGAAACAAATGCTTATTGCCCTTCTTAGCAAAAAGTCAAGAAATGTGTATTGCCCCACCTAATTTTTGTCAACAATCAACATTCTGAAGTGGGTTGAGCAGCCGAGCCTGGCGGTTTCGTTGTTTCCTTTTAATTACAAATATGAGATACTCGGTATTCGGTGGCTTGCGGTCTTTTTACTTAATCTAGTTGAGCCACGTGTACGCATCCGGAGAATAAGTTTATGAGTTTAATTACTCATAAAAACATCTAATCGTGTTTGGAATTAATCTTGTTTATGTTTTTCACATTTTTTGAGAAAAAAAAATGAAAACGTTTATAAAACGGTGTTTGACACAATAAAAATAAAAAATAAAAATAAAAACGATTTTTTGATTTAGTGTAAAATAAGAGAGAAATGAAAAACGACTTTTAGTCGTTTTTCATTTTTTATTTTTGTTTTGTCCTCTCTCGAGCAGAGAGAAAGAGAGAGAGACATTAATGGTTTTTTATACTGAAAATAATCTCTTAATAAAACTACCAAACACATTTTTTAAAATAATTTATGTCTGAAATTGAAAACGTTTTCATTTTCATTTTCATACGAAAAACACCCCGTTCATTTCGCTGATTCGAGTTTTGCTACAGTAAAATGCTCTCAGAAACAGTCACATCTAACTTTTTTGCTACAGTAAAAAGCTCTCACACAACATCACATATCAACTCGAATTAGCGAACCGAACGGGCCAAAAATCATTTTGGAACGAGTTCCAAACGCACCCGTAGCCTCTTAGTTTTTCGAAAATAAGTTTGTTAATTAGGGTAGGAAGAAAAAATATTTAAAAAAATACCTCGAAAAAGAAATCACAAGAGTTTTGACAAAAAAAAAAAAAAAACTTAAGTAGGGAGATAGTAAAAAAAAAAAAAAAAACTAATCATTTTGATTAAAAGAAATTGAGAAAAAGAAAATATTTCAAAAAAATATTGTAAAAAACTAAACTTTGAGATAATATTAGAGGGGGAAAAAAGACAATAGACAAAAGAAAAGAAGAAAAAAATTAAAAAAGAAAAAGAGGAAAAAATAAAAATAAATTGTATAGGAGTTTTAAGGGGGGAAAAGGAACATCAAACAAAAAGGGAAAAAAAAATAGAAAAGGTAAAATAACAAAAGCAAAACATGAAGGAATAAATTAGAGAGTGTGACACATGACCAAAAGAGAAGTAACCTTTTAACTCTTTTACGTATGTTTAGATAATATTGATAATATGTGTAGCTTAGAAGAAAATAAATTTGCTCCCTGAAAAAAAAAGGAGGGAAAGTAATTTGTGTGAAAGTTTTAAAAAGAATAAAATAGTATTAAAAATCTTATCTATCTATTACGTCTATTATTTCTATTTATACTATTATATATTAAAAAAAAGTTATGAAGCTAGCAGCTCTGGATATATTTTTTTTTCCTATTCATGCTAATTTTTTCATTTTTTATTTATTATCTGTGGTTTTCTCTTACTTATAGTTTAAGAAAAATTATTTAATTTTTAATTCTATTTAATTTTTTATACTTTTTACTTACTTGTTATATATTATATTCTCTTACTTACAACTTAAAAAAAATGATTTAATCTTTATTTTCATTTATGTCATTCATCTATTCTACTTTTTATTTACGTGTTATGTTTTCTCTTTATTAAGGCTTAGGAAAAAAAAAATGAAATTACAGCTAGCTGTCGTGTTTTAATTTTCATGTCCACTTATACCCTTTTTATTTTTTATTTTTTTTACTTTATTGTTTATTTTGACCTTTATGTTATTTGTTCTTGTGCTATTTCTTACTTCTAACTGAAGAGAAAGTGGTCAAATTAAAAATTATTTCTTCTGAATCGTCTAGGTCTAGCTCCCCAAAATAGGAGCTGGGGTCCGTACATTAAGAAATAATCATGTAATTCTTTATTCATTTATTTCTTTTTCCTATTTACATGCTTTTCTTTCTGTATTAAATTTTTTTTATTCGTTGTTAATTTATTAGGCAAAATTTATGGTAGGAACTAAACTTTTGTCCTATCGTGACACTTTTTTTTAATCGTTAGATTAACTTTTTAATGGTTTAATTTGAGACTAAATGTAGTTCTGCAAAGCATGACTTAAAAATTTTAACATAAACACTGAGCAAATCATATTGTTAAGAAAAATTAATTAAACAGTTAAAATAACAAAAATAATGTGACGTTCAAAATGTGTTTTACGCGTAGCTTGCACTTGCATTTTGCAGTCTTAATAGCAAGCTTGTAACTTTCCATTGTATGATACTGTTTGGTTTGGTATCCATGAAAACTTGCACCGTCTTGAGATTTTTTTTCCTGAGTCTGGTAATGCTCAAGATCACAACGCGGTTTAAAACACAAAATACAATGTGCATTTTTAATCTTTCCAACACCTCTTTAAGATGTTACAACCATTTATCTACTCAAGAATGCGGGTGCAGTTCTCCCAAAGATAAAAAGAAAACCAAAAATAAAAATCCAAGAAAAGTTTACCATAGCTGCCCGTCTTCAACATGGCTCCCTGCCTGTGTTTAGCATGGTTCCCCCTTACCATACAGGGAACTGGATCGATGGAAATCTCCAAAATTCGATTTCAATCTTGTCTAAGTCCTTTGGTGGTTTTGTTGTTCAGGCTTGAGCAGTTCGATCTTCGGATACGAGAGGACACGTGTCGCGCTCTTGATCCTAAAGGGGACCTCTTCTAGCCAGAATCAGTCATAATTCAATCTTGGGTTTGGGTGGGCACATTCTGTCTCCAAATTCCAGCCAGGACACTACCAAAGATGGAATGGCAAACACTTGAAACAGCACATGGAACTGCTGTTAAAGGATTTCCAAAGTGTTGGGTCGCCAGAACAACTCCGAGCACCGAGTTCTGCAACATTAAAAGTGTCCATAAGAGCACAACCTTCCCAATTGAACAAATAAAAGCCAACAAATCAAACATAATAGTACTTAAAAGGAATAGGACATCATGAATTGTGTATGATATATGGATATATGAACAACATACCAATCATAAAATCAACCAAGTAGCTAAAAAACAGAAACCAACATTGAGGGCATGTAAAACCTGAAAATTGCTGCCACCCTATTAGCATAACATGGCGACAGTTGTGAAAATTTGTTGAACGTTTGAGAAGCAGCTCAATGAGAAAATTGTGAAGGATACATACCTGCATGCCAACCTCAATAGAGATAGTTCTCGCTGATGCCACATCAATCCCGAGCAATCTAGAAAGTATGTAGCCAAAGAAGAATCCAGATGCGTGAAGAAGAGAGGCAGCAAGCACCACTTGCAGTCCAGACTTGAGGATTGCAGAAGAGCTCTGGGCAATAGCATTCCCGCAAAGAATGGCTACAGTCCCGACCGCGATGGGTGGCATCAAGGGGGAAATAAGTCTAACTAGGCCTGGAAGTACTGATTTAGAAATGCACCGGCCAATACGGGAAGAAGCACAACCTGGTTCAAGCTTCAAAGCATGAATTATATAGTAAAGAAAATGATTACCCTAGTAGAAACTAGAAGTTGCAAAAAAGTATTAATACTTCACTTCACCTGCAGTGTTGAGACCAGTAGTCCAACTGCATCTACTGCTACATACTGCCCAGCGAGTTTCGCTGTGAGAAAGGGCATCATGATCTGCATGAGAATGATTATTGAAGATAATCTCTTACTTGAAAGAGTGACAAGGAATATAGACTTTGGCAACCAGAAAAATGCTTTTATTGAAATAAAGAAAAAAGGGGTTCATAACTTGAAGCAGGAAGTGCAAATGAAAATAATACTCAACCGACCATGGAGAGAAATATACTTGCAGGGAGATCATAACTGCATCAGGTTAATCACCAATACTTTGTTCTACTTAATAAGCTGAGAATTATAGATTTTTTTTTTATTTTTAAGGAGCAACAAAGCTAAAAACCATATACTTAAATCATGTTGATATATTATAAATATCCTCAAAGTTTTATCTGATTAAAAAAATTCTTTACATATATCTAAAAAAAAGATTTAAAAGAATCTTTAAGAGATAAATTTTTAGAACATAAAAAATGCCCACAATAATTTGTATCGACGTATTATTTAAATGTTCTTCAACTAAAAAATAATTGTTCGGACAAAAAACACAAGAAACCAAATAACAGAAAGGGCAAATGCATACTCTCCTACCTATTCCTTCGGCTTTCAGCCCGGCCTAAAGTAAAAATTAAAAAGTATAACTAATGTGAAGTTAATGAGCTTGAGCAGGCATAAGGATAAAGATTGGAGAACGCATACAAATGGGTATACTAAGGCCAATACGGAGTGGAAAGATAGAAATAAATATCTAGTTAAAAAAGGTGTTGATGTTGGGCAGCTTTTAAATTATAGTGATGATGACCTAGCTCCAGATTTTGACCACTATGATGTTAAGCAGGTATGTGCCCTTTTCTTGCTTTCATGTTGTAAAGAAAGCGAATGCCCTTTTCTTTTGTTCATTTCTCTTTCTTGGTGTAACGGATGCGAATCTTGCATGTTAATCTGACCGTAGCTTCAAATGAAGAATCGAGGGAAAAAGAGGAAATTTGGAACTAGTGTCAACATAGAAGAGAATGAGAGTGAATGTTATGCTAAGGAAGGGCAGAAGAAGCTCCTTATCCTTGACATGAATGGAATTTTAGTCCACATTGTTCGTTGCTATATTACTTCTCATTTTATAAATTCAAAATTTTGTTTGATTTCTAGTAGATACAGCACCCCCACACCCTTGAGCTCTTTTTTAAAATTAGGAAAACGATATTGCACGTTTTATTCATTTTGACCAAACACTCTCATAGCCACCCACATCATTTGATAGCTATAAATTCAAAACTTTGTTTGATTACTAGTAGATGCAACACCCCCTTGAGCTCTTTTTTAATAGTAAGAAAAGGTGCATGTTTCATCCAATGTGAGAAAACACTTTCACACAGTTACAATCCTGTAACTACGTTGAGATGCCCACCCCAATCATTTGAGACTATAAATTCAAAATTTGTTTGATTTCTAGTAGATACAGCACCCCCACCCCCTTGAGCTCTTTTTTAATGTTAGGAAAAGGATATTGCACGTTTCATCCATTTTGACCAAACAATCTCATAGCCACCCACATCATTTGAGAGCTATAAATTCAAAACTTTGTTTTGATTGCTAGTAGATGCAACACCCCCTTGAGCTTTTTTTTAATAGTAACAAAAGGTGCACGTTTCATCCAGTGCGAGGAAAGACTCTCACGCATTTAAAATCCTATAACTACGTTGAAATGGCCACCCCAATCATTTGAGACTATAAATTCAAAAATTTGTTTGATTTCTAGTAGATACATCACCCCTACCCCCTTAAGCTCTTTTTTAATATTAGGAAAATGATATTGCAGGTTTCATCCATTTTGACCAAACACTCTCATTGCCACCCACATCATTTGAGAGCTTAAAATTCAAAACTTTGTTTGATTGCTAGTAGATGCAACACCCCCTTAGCTCTTTTTTAATAGTAGGAAAAGGTGCACGTTTCATCCAGTGTGAGTAAACACTCTCACGCAATTACAATCATTGGGGTTGTGCAACCTTCGCCAACCTAATTGCTCCATTGGAAAAAAATCTCTCAGCTGTGAGTGGATTCGCATTTATATTAATGGTAAGGTTGATTTCATTTATCACTTATTTTATTTTGTTTGTTCTTCTTTATTGTTATTTTCCTTTATAACTTCTTTACTTTTACAGGTTTTTGCTTTTGAAAGGTTCAAGCAAATCCAAAAATATATGCTTGAACAACAAAATACAAAAAGACCAGTAGAGTTCTCACATTTTTTGGGATGGATTAAGAGTGTTAATAAAGCGCTGATGAACAGCCGCAGTTTGAAAAAGGCCCATGAATATGTGGCCATGTTAGATTAGGTAAGTGGCTGTTAAAACAGCCTCTCCCCAGAAATATTTTGGGACATGGGTTGAGAGAACAGGCAACCTCTAGAATGTGTCTGTTTTTCCTTTCTGCCACACATCATTTGAGAGCTATAAATTCAAAACTTTGTTTGATTGCTAGTAGATGCAACACCCCCTTGAGCTTTTTTTTAATAGTAAGAAAAGGTGCACGTTTCATCCAGTGCGAGGAAAGACTCACGCAGTTAAAATCCTATAACTACGTTGAAATGGCCACCCCAATCATTTGAGACTATAAATTCAAAAATTTGTTTGATTTCTAGTAGATACATCACCCCTACCCCCTTAAGCTCTTTTTTAATATTAGGAAAATGATATTGCAGGTTTCATCCATTTTGACCAAACACTCTCATTGCCACCCACATCATTTGAGAGCTTAAAATTCAAAACTTTGTTTGATTGCTAGTAGATGCAACACCCCCTTAGCTCTTTTTTAATAGTAGGAAAAGGTGCACGTTTCATCCAGTGTGAGTAAACACTCTCACGCAATTACAATCATTGGGGTTGTGCAACCTTCGCCAACCTAATTGCTCCATTGGAAAAAAATCTCTCAGCTGTGAGTGGATTCGCATTTATATTAATGGTAAGGTTGATTTCATTTATCACTTATTTTATTTTGTTTGTTCTTCTTTATTGTTATTTTCCTTTATAACTTCTTTACTTTTACAGGTTTTTGCTTTTGAAAGGTTCAAGCAAATCCAAAAATATATGCTTGAACAACAAAATACAAAAAGACCAGTAGAGTTCTCACATTTTTTGGGATGGATTAAGAGTGTTAATAAAGCGCTGATGAACAGCCGCAGTTTGAAAAAGGCCCATGAATATGTGGCCATGTTAGATTAGGTAAGTGGCTGTTAAAACAGCCTCTCCCCAGAAATATTTTGGGACATGGGTTGAGAGAACAGGCAACCTCTAGAATGTGTCTGTTTTTCCTTTCTGCCACCCCGTTCTGTTGGGGTGTGTCAACACAAGAACTTTGGTGAATAATGCCCTGGCTCCCAAGATATTCTCCTAGAGTTGTCTCAAAATATTCTTTTGCATTGTCAGTCTTCAACACTTGTATCTTTGTGGCAAATTGTGTCTGAATCATAGTATTGAAATTTTTAAAAATTTGCCCAACTTCAGATTTTTCTTTCATGAGAAACAACCAGGTGATTCTGGTATGATCATCAACAAAGGACACAAACCACCTTGTACCATTAATATTTTTTATTCTAGATGGCCCCCATACATCACTATGAATCATGAAAAAATGATGAGATGCTTTGTATGGCTGAATATGGTAAGAATTACGAACATGTTTTGAGAATTGGCACACTTCACATTGAAACAACTTCGGATTTTTATTGATAAATAAAGAAGGAAACAATTTTTCGATATATAAAAAATTTGGATGACCTAAACGATAGTGCCATAACATGATTGCACTATCTTTATTGGTGTTTTCAACAGATACTAAGCCTACAGTATGAGTTCGTCTTCTAGGAGGTCTGTCAACTTTGAGAAGATAAAGTCCCGAGCTTACCCTAGCACTGCCAATCATCTGAATCCAAAACCTGAAATTCACACAAATCCGAGGAGAATTTAGCAAACACAATTAATTTCTTGAGAGAGTTTACTCACTGATAAAAGATTGCAATCCAGATTAGGAACATGAAATACTGTCTTCAACTCTAGGGTTTCTGAGAGAATAATAGACCCTGTCCCAGCCACTTTAGCGAGTGATCCATCAGCAATTTTTATTGTAAGATTATCTTGACATGGTCTGTAATGATGAAACATAGTTCTGTCTCCTGTCATGTGATCAGATGCCCCAGAGTCTACTATCCATGTGTCCTTATTTTTGGAATCAACAGAAAGAGCACTCAAGTAATTACCTTTGTGTGCCAAAGATTCGTTTCCAATGTTACCCTGAGCAGTTGCTGCTTGTAAGAACATCTTTTGTAGGGTTTCAAGTTGTTCCTTGTTGAAAGGATTGGATTTCGAGGAAGTAGAATTTCCTTCTTCAACTGCAACATGATTTTCGCGGCTATCTTTGTCCGTAGCTGGTCGTGAAGGTTTCCAATCTGCAGGTTTGCCATGTAGCTTCCAGCATGTCTCACGGATGTGTCCTGTTTTTCGGCAATGATCGCACCATGGTCTCCCCTTCTTCTGCCGATTGTCGTAGCTGGTGTTCTGGGCTCCTCGAACAGCTAGGGCAGATGAGTTATCCGTGATCGAAGCACTGATGGATGATTCCCCGAGCATCCCCTTTTTCCTGCTTTCTTCTTTGCGCACTTCAGAAAAAACTTCTCAGATGCTTGGTAGGGGTTTTGTCCCTAATATTCTTCCTCGAACTTCATCCAAGTTCTTGTTGAGTCCCATCAAGAACTTGAATATTCTCTTCTTTTCCACGATTTCTCTGAATCTTTTTGCATCACCCGGACAGTCCAACTTAGAGTCCTCAAATACGTCTAATTGTTCCCAATTACGGGTGAGGATATTGTAGAATTGGGTGGCAGAAAGATCTCCTTGTCGAAGGTCATGGATTGTAGTTTCAATCTCAAAAATTACTGAGGTATTTTCCTTACTCGAGTAAAATTCTTTAGCCACATCCCATATTTCATGTGCAGTGCTGTAGAGCAAAAAATTCTCACCTAGTTCGTTGGTCATTGAATTTATTAACCATGACATGACCATATTGCTCTCTGTTTTCCAGAGTCTGAATGTGGGATCCCCTTCCTTTCGAGGGATGATCTCGCCTGTGAGATATTCGTCCTTCCCTTTTCCGCATATGTACATCATAACGGACTGCGACCATTGAAGATAATTGTTCCCATTCAGTTTGTGCCCTGTAATGGGAAGATGAACGCCTTTTGCAATTCCATAGGGGTGCTAGGATTCGAGACTCCAGAGCCTAAAGTGACTTCGGATGATGACTCCTTCTGCCTCTTGGTGGCCATTCCGTATTTGGTCATCAGAGAGGGATTTTTGGAAGGCTCTGATGCCATGTGAAAAATTGAGAAATAACTAGAATATTTCTCATTGAATAATGAATTAACGAAAATAAGTTTAAATAGGAGGAGATGCCCCAATCGATTCCTCAAAACAAGGAACTGATAAACTAAAACACTATCTCTAATCCTAGTAAAGATAATAAACAGGAAAAATAAATGAGAGGATCAGGTAAGTCATTATCCGAATCTCTTTATTTTTAGAAACCAAAAGACTAACTTAACCCTAGTAATTTAAACACCGAATTTCCACAGATAGATTATAGAATATAGTTTATAGATTATAGAATATAGTTTATAGATTATAGATTACGAAATAAGACAAACAAGTGATATCACAACTAGAAACTCTCACAAGGACCATACATGCAATGTATCAACTAGATGTCGTTTTAAAATCCAGCTACATTCTTTAACAGGTAAAGTTTACATTAGTGCACTTACAAAAATCTAATTAAACCTCATATAACAACAAAAGATATCTCTCAAAGAAGAAACGATCCATGTACGGAAATAAGTGGCAATAGCATAAGAAGGATAAAGGTACATAGAAAAGAAAAAATACACAAAACTGTAAAACAATGTAAACATACCTCATGGTGTGACGTTCAGATAGCATTAACAGTTAGCAATAATAAGGAGAGTTCCAACTTCCAAGGGCAAAGAGATGCAACCTGTAAAAGGATAATAAATGTTGCGCATAAGAGACCAGCGTGAAAGAATAAGAATACAAGTCCATAACAAGCAGCTATTTGTTTCCTTTATATGTAATGACGAATAGTCATGGGAGCCAAACAAAAATAGGACACAAAATCACATGTACTTTAGAAAACACAAATCTAACATGAAATTAAAAAATGGGAAAAAAATAAAATGAGTATCTAAAAGCACATTATGGTAGATTAATATACATCATTAGAAGAGAGTGTTCGTGCAAGAAATTGTAAATCACAGCTATTAAAGCTTGATGAAGCATCTAAAATACACTAGCCAAAAGCATAGGGCCACCTAGATCACATAATTAAGCCAAAAATACTAAAAGGACATGTCGTCTATGTCTACGAAATAGCAGGCAATACCAGCTAAACATAAGCTATCAGATTAATGAGGAACCAAATTTGCATGTCTACATCAGAGAACACATTTCCCAGTCATTTACTTCAGCAGTGCTATTACTGGTCAAAAAGGAATATTGATACAACAGTCAACTTCTGAAATCCAGCTTCTCAGATGCTATTGGATTTAAAAAGATGCTAATGCTTTCAAATTCTTTACACTTGTTGCTACATACACTGTGCAGCATTACGTAATCCCTAAAATGCTTGCGTTATCAATTCCTTCTCACCGTAACACTCCTGCCTTTAGTACACACCTCTTGACATCTAGTAACCAACACCAAATCTTCACCACACATTGTACTAACAAAATAGCCTTCAGTTATGAATCACAGTAACTTGATTGGTCAGGCCTTTCTCTCATGCAATACTTGCTTCAGATAACGGACCGAACTAGAAACTAAAAACCCAGGAGGGAAAACAAACTGAAACAAACTTTGTATCTATAGTTCGCACATAATGAAGCGGAAACAGCAATCTCCAAATCTTGCATGTTATAAAAATTTAGAGAACTCCCCTTCACTTTGGAAAAAATTCTAATTGAAACAATAAACCACAGAGGAAGCTCATAGAAACTGATTTCTCACTCTGCCAACATGACAGATATAAAAAATAAGAGCTAAGAAGCAAGGCGTCAAAATACCTCATTAGCGGATTACAGGGATTTCACCCATATAATGCCACCAACACAATGCATCATTAGTCTGGATTTACACCATAAATAAGTTAACATGTGTTTTACAAGGAGAAAACCAACACTGGGCAGAAGGAATCCAAAAAAAATAGCAAAACAGTAATAACTAATAAAGTTAAAAAACTTACTTGACCAAGAAATTCAACCTTCAGCTTCATTGTGGAATAGTCTTGCCAAAGAACAGCATATCTCACGCAATGGATACACTTCTCTTAGTATATGTTGTTGTTCTTCTAAGAAAATGATTTATATGGAGGGAACTCCACTCACAAAATTTTCTCCTTAACCCTGGATGTTAGGTTCTCTACATGCTCCAGTTCTTCTAAAGGAAATTATATGAGATGGACAATCTGTCTGTTCAGATATTTACCATAACCCAAACTCCAAACACTAAACCACAAGGTGTCAAAAGAAGGAAATTTCTTCACAAATGAAAGCCTGTATTTCTGACAATCTAATTCACCTTTTTCTTTTTTTGAAAAAAAAATGACAAACTATGCATTACTAGTGCTATCGTCCCTTCTAAATTCAACTACTACTGATGAGCTATAAATTAAAGCCTAAAAGTCAGCAAGAAATTCAAAAGGAAGAAGTTTGTCAGCTGCAAAGTAAAAATAAAAATAAAACAGTAATAATATACAAATGAGCTATAAATTAAAGCCTAAAAGTCAGCAAGAAATTCAAAAGGAAGAGCAGAAACTAAAAAGAGACTGACAATTAATATAGAGTTTGCTGAAAACTCCCAAATAAAGATAATAAAAAAATGACTCCGTAGGATTTGACCAGAGAATTGGCGCGGATATAGCCAATTCTACAAGTTTCCTAAAAACTAATAACATTCTCGGCTACCTACTTCATCATGTCTCCAAAATACAAGGAATAGGATTCAGGGTCTCAGAATCTGTACCGAGTAAATCAAAAAATACAAATCCATAAATAGAGTTTGTTAAGAACTTAGGATTAAGATCATTCTATATATGACCATCGGTAGACTTAATTAGAATTTCTATACTTAACAGAAATTATTAGAAATTCATATTGTGTCTGTGTCCTTGTTCCACATAATCTCATTATGCGAAATACACTCATTCAATATCTCGCCATATTAACAGTGCGGATAACACCGTTCCATTCTAAATGGGAATGACCTGTATTAATAATGTTTTAATTAAAGATTCTGAACTTTAATTAAATTCATTATGAACATTACTTTTTGATTATTATCTTTAAACATTATCCTCTCGTATATAACACTTATATACAATGTTTAAGGTTACATAAATAATCATGGAATTTTCATTGACATTCATAAAATATTCACAAATATATACACATAAAATTGATGAATAAACTATTTTATTAAATAAATAATAAATATTCTATTACATCTTATACTTCTAGGACACCATTCCCAACAAAAGACAGGGTAAACACACACACACACACACACACATATATATATATAATATTCTAATAAATTTATCGTATTACGTATTCATAAATTTTATTTATATTTTCCTTAACTTATTCCTATTTTTATACATACAGATTTTCCCATCAAAGTCAACAAATTGAATTCCTACCACCGCCAAAAAAACCTCTTCAAACAATTGAATAACAAATATCAGCAAATAGGAGAACAATAAATGAACTCAAAACATTGGATGCACAAAATAATATGGTATTACCAAATCATTTTTATTTATTATATACCTTTATTTATTTAAAAAAGTATTTTATAACATTAAAAAAATATTTATATATATTTTACAGGTATAGATTAATAATCCAAATTGAAGATCATACTGGAGACATGAAAGTTATCGCTTTTGGCAGAACCGCTCAGGCATTAATAAAAAAACCATGTTCTGCATTAACAATTAACAAAGGCTTTACCGATCCGTTTATAATTCCACCAGCTATTGATCAGATCCGAGGACAATAAAAAATCTTCCAATCTTCTTTCAACAACGAGGCACCCAATTGAGCACAATAATTTCCAAAATATTTGAAGACATCCATGTTCCATCATCGCTGCCAAAACAGTTAACTACATGAACAAAAGATCCACAAAGGTAAATAACGTTTTTTTTTTATCAACTATACATAAAAAATATTTATATTATATTGATCACAATTTTAAAAATTTTATCATTTTTCAGCCCACAACTAATATCAACAGCACAGCTATCAACACCAGTCACATTTGATCCACACACTCCGACACCTAAAAAACCTGGTACAAGGTAAGTCACATTCAACACAACAAATATTATCAACTAATTTAAATACATATCTACAAATTATTCCATTTTTACAACCCTGAATCAAGAACAACAAGAAAATCTGGAAAACGTCCAAAAACAAGGTAATATAAATATTTTTATAATATTTATTTCATATTATATATTTTAAACATCTTTAATTTTCTTAACACTTATATTTACAACCAATTTTCTCATTTTTATATTTGTAGCTGAAAGAAATGAAACGCTCAAGAATCATAATAACATTGTATTTTATTTTGTACAATCAGTATATATATTATAAATAATAATACTATATATGTCTGTATAAATATGTTTGTACAAATTTTATATATATCATATAATATAATACTATATAATACATATATATATATATATTTTAAATACAACTATTATATAATACAATATTGTACTCCGTAGCAACGCGTGAAATACAGGCTTGTAAAAACTAATAAGGGTAAGTTAGCAAAATTGTTCAATTATGCACTATGTTTTAAAAAAATAACCCACGTTTTATTTTATTAAATAAATATGCCTTTATTTAGATTACTTGCTAAGTAATTCAGTTATTACAGTGCTAAATTTTCCCTCCAATTCCATATCCCTCCAACTCCATAGCTAGAACTGAACCTAAGTGCCTGTTTATTTCACGTTTTTCGAGGATACAAAATTAAAACGGAGAGGAAAAAAGCGTTTGCTTCTCGCCTGACTTGCACTGTTTGCTTCTCGGCCGAGCTCCTCTGTTCCCTTCCCTTCCCTCCCCGACTCCGTCCCTACCGAGCCTTCTAAGTATCTTCACCCGCGAAGAAGCCATTCGAAACCACAAGTTATTCATCAGAAACAAACGGGTCCACATTTGTGAGTTTGTGCTTTTCGTAATTTCTTCTTTGTTGCGATGATTTTATTCATTTATTATTTTTTTTGAAACAAACGGGTCCACGTCTATGAGTTTGTGCTTTTCGTAATTTCTTCTTTGTTGCGATGATTTTATTCATTTATTATTATTTTTTTTTTGGAGTTAGTTTTTGCTGCTCTTGGGCTAGGGTTTTTTTTTTTTTTTTGGTTTACCCGTTTGTGTTAAACGTAATTCAGGTTTTTGTGTATATTTAATTTTTCAGGCTTTTTCCAGTTGGTAATACCTGCCTTTGCCTTAATCATACGACCAAATAGATGAGTTCTGGTGGTTGCACAAATCAAGTGAAAAACTTAAAATTTGATTGGTTTAAAACTGAAAAGGAAAAAAAAAAAAAACAGAGAGGAACAAAAATATGATCTTGATTAAGTTAGTTGCAAATGAAGATTTGTGTCGTTTCTGGCCATTTATTGACCAACTAATAGTTTTTGGTCCACCTAAATTGTTAAATATCTTTCATGACATTTTTGATTGGTTGTCTTGTGTTTCTAATAAGTTGTTTAATAGTTGGCATGTTGAATCATACACATAATGGACTGGTTTAGATCGATCCTAACCAAATAATTATAAATAGTTTTTATATTAATGGATTCATAGAATATTGTATTAAATTTGGTACGAAGATAAAATCTTAAATTGTGTATTTGCGTGAATCCTTCTTACTTTTTATTCAACCGCTACAAGATCAACAAGTCCGTGAGCTTGGGCTTCTATTGCTGACATAAAAACATCTCTTTCCATGTCTTCGGAAATAACCCTCTTGATGTTTGTTACAAACATGAGGAGAAATATGAAGAAAGTAGATCTAAGCCAATTTGGTTTTTCAGTATTTCTTGTTTACTGTTATTTAAAGTCAATTTTAACATATTAATGTGTCTCCGTTGTGAGTTCTTGTGTGCTAGATACATAAACAATGGCAGCCATAAAAACTTGGGTCGTCTCCCAGCATCTCAACGCGGTCATGGATTGGGATGTCCATCCCAGAGTAGCAGAGAAGGTGAGAACCACTTGTTTTAAGTGGTTCTTAGATATAAAAGTCGTAGCAGCAGCTGCGCAGGTGAAACAAAGTGTACAATTAATAAGTGCACTTTGTAAGTTTTATGACGCTAAAGAACATTATTTTTGTATTAATAATAATATACTTTATTTAGGTTTAGAAGATGTTTTTTACATTACAGGACTACCGATTGATGGATTTCCAGTTTCAGAATATGAAACTTCTGATATTAATAATTTTATTGCACAACATTTAGGCCCCGAGACACGTCAGATGGACTTGTTAGTCGGGGGCAGAAGTAAACAAATAAGACTAGTCCGTCTTAAACAACATTTTCAGAATCTCCCATTAGATTCTGATGATGCAACTGTAATTAGATACACACAGGCTTATTTATTGTATATAGTAGGAAGTGTTATTGTAAATCCTTCTTCTCATAATAGGGTTTCTCCTATGTATCTTCGACTTCTTAATTTAGAAGATGTAAATAGATACGCTTGGGGTTGTGCAACATTTGCCAACCTAATTTCTTCATTGGACAATAATCTCTTAGCTTTGGGGGGATTTGCATTTATGTTAATGGTAAGATTGATTTCATTTATCACTTATTTTATTTTGTTTGTTCTTCTTTATTGTTATTTTCCTCTATAACTTCTTTACTTTTACAGATTTTTGCTTTTGAAAGGTTCAAGCCAATTCAACAATATATGCTTGAACAACAAAATGAAGAAAAACCAACATAGTTCCCACTTTTTTGGGGATGGATAAAAAGTGTTAATAAAGTGCTGATGAAAAGCCGTAGTTTGAATAAGGCCCATGAATATGTGGTCATGTTTGATTCTTTTGTTGAGGATGATGTAAGTTTTTTCTTTTTTGCTTTCATTTATACTTTTGTTGTTTCTTTTGAAGAGTGTTCTAATACTTAAGTAATGATATTTGTAGATTGAATGGGAGCCGTATACAAGAATAAATGAACAAATTAGAGAAGCAAATAGGGAACAACTTGATATGCGGTTTGCTCGAGTTCCCTGTATTTGTTTTGCAACCGTAGCATATCATATGCCTGAAATTTGCCCAAGGCAATTAGGCATTGATGAGGCACAACTTCCCTATTTTGCTCCCCTGCCGCCAATCAAAGTAATTAACCCAAGTAGTCATAAAGATATTGATTGGCGCACTCACAAAAAGTATGCGTGCATCATTGAGAGTTGGGCAAACCGACGACGACAGTTAATAAGACAAGGTAAACACTTAAGAATCCATTTGTAACAGTTTCATTATTGCTTACTACATTACATGCTTTAAAAAATGTTTTTTATTTTTATTTTGGAGTAGGAGACTTTGCTAGGGCAGGTGATGAAGTTGATCATGAGCCGGTTGCTCCTCCAAGTCCTCAAGATCCAGTTGCTCCTCCAAGTCCTCAAGATCCAATTGCTCCTCCAAGTCCTCAAGATCTAGTTGCTCCTCCCAGTCCTCAAGATGCAGTTGCCTCTTCTAGTTACCAAACTCCTTCTAATGTTGGGGAAGATCCTTCCATCGTTGGGGAAGCTTCTACCATTGTACGTGAGCGTACCCTACTAACGTACCAAAGGGGCATTCGCTCGGTGTTTAGGATCTCTCCTCAAGATCCGGTTACTCCTTAAGTATGGATCATTAGAAGAGGCAATGATGGGGTGCTGAGGCCATTCACGAACGTCCCAGATAAGCCCCTCAATCTCAATCCCACACCAAATCAACAATACCTATGATCACTAACGTTTCTTATGGCATTTATTTGATGAATTATTGCTCTTTGCGTTGTAAAATTTTAAAAGCATTTATTTGGAAATATTTTTTTTTCTTTTTTATTTCGAAGAAATGTTATGAAAAAGACTTTTGTTCCTAATCCTATTGGACAAGCTCCATCATTGTCTTTAGGTAGTACATCAATTATCATGGCAACAAAACAAAGAAAGGATAAGAACAAGCCAAAAGAAGCCTCACATTTTTTATAACCTCCATTTATATTGTATGTATCTATCGAATCTGCATGCTTATACAAACTCGATTGTCTAAATATATTAATTGGTTCTAATGTTTAACCGCAAAAAAAAAAAAAAAAAAAAAAAAAAAAAAGTAGAGAGAGAGAGATACTTGGACTTAATAATTATATTCAATTTAAACCCCCTTTAAAAATTCCGTTGGGAATAAAATTTCACACCCTATAAATGAATGCTCTTAAATTTGAAATGATTGCTAGATTTCAATAATGGCGTGCAAGGACACCCGTGTGACTCGTCTCCTCAATATAATTGAAGGAAGAGAGAGAAAGAGAGGGGGGGGAAAAAAGATGTTCTACAACTGCCTAGTATACCTACAAGATTGGTAAAGAATTCTCTTAAAATAAGCCCTTTTTTTTATTGATTATTGATTCTTAAGCCTCACATTTTTGGTGTAGCACTTGAAACAAATATCATTGGGGCTCTTGATTCAACCCCAGTTGCTTATAATTTATGTAGTCAATTCCATTTAACCGTACACAACATAATATCTGCTCTGGCAACTCTTCAGCTTTGTTTCCCTGTCAAGATATTGATGTAACACAAATTAAAAAACACCAACATATGAAAAAATAAATAAAAAAATAAAAAGAATAGCAGTTTTGAGAAATTCAATCTTAATTTTTTCAGAGTACACTTACCTGAATAGTGAGGCCAACATCCAAAACGCAGAGCTTTAGTCTGTCCAAGAAGGATTCAAATCCTTTCCTTGAGATGTAACTGAATCTGTGCATGTCCAAATCAATCTCAAAGTAGTGTTCGCCCTGCATATAGTGTCCATTTTTATGTCAGCTGAAGGAATTCAAAATACAGATGAACTGAATTGTTTTGTTTTGTAAAACAAATTCCTGTCGTAAAAAAGGATACATAAGCGTAAAATGAAGGACGGGAATCGATCTTAGCCAATTTAAGTAGCTCAAACTTACTGAGTAGAACTCATGTTGAGGACGCGAAAGAACCGGTTTTTCGTTGTAAGCCTGTATAAAGGGCCGTTCTGCTGCACTTAGATGAAGGTCTTCTAGATTAGCAACACGTCCTAATATCTTCAGCCTTTCCCTAAAGGGCACATTAGAATCTACAGGAAAACCTTTGACCTTCTCAACTTCATCATCAATCAACTTCTGTTTTCAGTATTTAAAAAAAAAAAAAAACCAACAACAACAACGGTAAGGAGTCTAATAAAAACACAGAGAACAGCACTTGCGAAGTTCAAAGGCTCTTCATCTTTACCCTGATGCTTTCTTGAAAATGAGGTGGAAGTTCCTTAGAGTATCTTTCGGAAAGCTTAAAGTATAAAACAAAACTCATTCCTTCACCGTCCGTGTCACCCTTCAATAATGAGGCGGGATACAGCGGAATCTGGACAACAAGAAAAAGGCAGCATCAGAACATCTGAAAAAAAAATGGATATACATGTTGTGCGCACGTGTGAGTGGTGTATAATGGAGAATCTAAATAAGAGGCGATCAAGGAAAAAATGTTTGTCTTCACACAAATAAGAATGGCCTGCATGCCAACCTCACTTGGCTGATTTATGATTTGTTGAATAAAAGTTTTGAGTCTATAACTAGTTATTATCTAGTTCAATTGTCGAATTTCCAGCAGAAGTTGTATCTCATGACTCAAAAGTCTATAAACTGCTGTCTAAACAAGGGACCGAAGTTATCTAAAAAATTAGAACATTTCTCCCTCTCTCCCTCTCTCACAGAGAGAGAGAAAGACAGAGAGAGAGAGAGAGAGAGAGATTTGATACCTGTACATTTACTACAAGAATAGAAGGTAGTCTCCCAGGAGAATTAATAACGGGGAGTTGCACAAATCTAGCAATATGATTGATTTTTCGGGGACATAAGAATACATCTACACCAAATGGATAATAAGCAGCATAGCTGGGGGCATATTCTTTCTTCTTGTCACTGCAGGAAATTTTCAAATGAAATAAACAGTTAAAACGAAGCTTCGATAATAAAAGAATTCAACAATGCAAAACTCAATTTTGATTTATGTGCACGATGTACAAATATCAAATATAAGTCTAACTTAGTTTAACATCACATGTGCAACCTATCTATGTATAATGAAGGAGAGCACATTAATATGTAAGAATGTGAATATATGAAATAGCCATGTACAAAACCAATTCAAAACTATCATCTCAGCCTTACCGGATGTAATTCACTCCTCGAACTCTAAAAGTACTTGGCTCAACCAGGGTCCAACTGTCTAGGATTTGCTTATCTACGGGGCAAAAAGGTACTTGAGAACCAGCGATTGGTCGTTGCAGAAGCATCTTTGGGGAAACTGTAATTACAAATAGAGAGGAATAATTAAAGGAACTAAATTTTCATGTATCTAAGATTCTTCTGTCAATATGAATACTAGAGGAAGGATTCAAAGAGGTGCTAAAAGAATTTCATGTAAGCAATTGATGGTGGTATCTTGTAGATGGTGGTGGAAGTATAAGCTCTAGAAGAGGCAAAAGAAAATTATATGGTGCTAAGAAATATACAGTGTAGTCGAAATATACTATACAACTATGACTAGTTTCTGTTACCAAAATGACATGAAAACAAAAGATGTTTGAGTTCCATATTACATACCTGGAGCAGCAGGGGCATTTCCTTCTTTCGACTTGAAAGAAAGTTTCAGAGCTGCCTTTTTCTTAGCATTTGGCGGACTAGTACTTGATGATCTTCTCTTTTCAACAGGAGGAACGGTAGAGGCAAGACAAGGCAAGCAATTACTTGGAAGAATCCCACAGTTATCCACTACTGTGTCCTCCTTGCCCGGATTTTCATCCACAGAGGACGACATTTCATCTAGGAATACAGGTTGATTTGCTTCATTTGTTGAAGGTCCATCATATTTAGGATGGGTTTCACTGTCATCCGAATTCAAGACTCGAGAACATGAATTCGGAGCAACTTCGCTGACGGAGTTGCGTGCAGAATTTCCTGATAAGGACAGATTTTCCAAGCCACTTGGAGATAAGAAATCTGCACAAGTCAACATTTTAACGACATAAACAAAAGAAGATTATAACTAACTGGGTAAATGCAAACAATCTTGCAACTGAAAACCTCTGCGAAAATCATACCGTCTTGAACACTTTGGTAATCGTCATCCCCATCAGAAAAATCAAACCGGGGAGCTGAATCAAACCAGGCCTCTTCAGTACTTCCTGCCGAGATGCCATCACATTGTAAAAGAAATGAGAGGTAAGGTCATTAAAAATAAAAGTAAATTCAGGGCACATGAATTTGTCTTCTGAGAATGCATATGTTTGATAACAAAATGCTGACAAAGCTAGACTAGTTTATCAGAGAGAGTGAACAAAGATAATCAAGATAATTTGGAGAATGTATAAACCGCCAAGGCACATAAGAATTACCATGCTTTCCAAGAAAATCAGTGAAAAAGATACCAAGAAAATACAGAGGCAATTCAACCAAGAATTGCATTTCCAGTTTTCTACCACATAATCTCATGCCAAGAGATTATTGACCGCCAAAGATCCAACCAAGAAAATCAGTGGAGAAGAAAATCAGTCAAGAAAATACAAGAAAGAATTCCAACAAAAATTGTCATTTCTAGTTTTCTATCACATAACCCAATGCTAACGTATTATTGACCGCCTAAAACCCAACCAATAAATTACAACAATCCAAAAATCCACTAAAGCACCCAAAAGGGTCTTCCTTTTTTTCATTTTTTTTTCCTCCAATCAAATAATAGACGCCTACCAACAAGAAACACTCAAAACTCAAGAACCCACCAAAATTCAACCGAAACCCACCCAACCCAGAAAAACCAAATTCCAAGAGAGCACGCTCAATCACAATTCCAAGACCATTTCAGAGAGAGAGGGAGAGAGAGAGAGAGTAAAGAAAGAGAATGTACCTTGCAAAGTTGGGTTGGTGATGGTGGAGCGATCAACTGGGGCTGACCTACCGGGTCTCTCCGATGAGGCCTCGGAAGACCGAGACGAAACTCTTCCCTTGAGACCTCTCTTCCTCCTTGAACGACTCGTCGTCTTCCTGGACGAGTCCAATCCTCCTCCGACGCACCCCTGAGGCGCCGAGAAACACCCTCCCATCTTTCTCTCTCTCTTTCTTTAGAGTTTGATCATCACTGTATCACCACCAACTCGGAGATAAATTATAGAGAGAGAAACTGAGGTTTTAGGAGAGAGAGAGTGTGTTTTTAAGTTAACAGCTGATGATTTTTTTTCTTTTATTCGGGAGTCGTCGTTGTTGTTATGCTTGCATTGTATTTGCGTCTCCACAAAGCCTTCATTCAGACGCAAAAAGCTTTTTATTTTATTTCATTTATTATTATTATTATTATTTGCTATTATTGTTTATTTTGATTGGACGAGCTTTTATTTTGTCGATTGATTATTTAGTTTTTTAAAATAAAAAAAAAGGGAGATGACGGCAAGTTGCTGTAAAAGCGGCCTACACCAGTGGAGTCGGGCGATAGAAGGGCATGGGACCCACGTAATGAGGCAAATGATTTACCACGTGGCGAGATCTCGCTTGCCCAAACGTGTGTGCTTGTTTGGCGATACTTCTTGTTGTTTTTTTCTTTTAAATAAAAAAATTCCTGAAAATTCTTTTGTTTTTTGGGTTTTGATAAATTTTTTTTTTTGAACTTTTTGGTGACGTTGTAGTTGGCGTCGTTTGGTGATGGTGTTCTGTGTTGGCGTTTCTTTTTTCTTTTTTTTTTTCGAGTTTTCATGGTAGCGCGTCTGTATGTACTGTTTTTTCCTTTCTTTTTTCAAATATACTTTTCTGTAATTTGTCATTTTCAGTCTGAATTTTGTCACGAAGGAAACCCTGTGGTACAGTTTCGTCATTGTCCTTTTCTTTTTGTGTTAAAAATGGAAATTTTCGTTAATTACAACGAAGGCGGCTAACGCTTATTAAAATAATTCAGCAAATAAGCTCTTATTGCAATGATTTTAAGTTCCAACACCCCCCAAAATAATGTCTTATTTTTCATGAGAATAATTTATTAATATAATAAATCTTTTGAGGGTAGAAGGAAGATTATTTAAGCGAAACAAAAAGTCAAAACAACTTTGATTAGGTTGTGTTGGGTTCTTCCGCTAGTTGGGTAGAGATCCCGCAGGATATTTTTCTGCAATTTTGATGTTTTTAGGTGTGTTGCAATCTAGAATTAGTTTTAAAATAATTTTATTTTTAATAAAAATTAAAAATGAAATTATTGTAAGTATTATTTTAAAATTGATTTTAAAATTGAGTTTGACTAATTTTTTAAAAAATTATTTTGAGTATAATAAAAAGTGAAATCGTGTTTATTAATTAATATATTATAATATTATTGACAAGTACTAAAAAATAAAAACAGAAAAGTGAAAATAATTTTCAACTACTTTCTAATTCTTTCACAAAAATCATTCTCACTGTTTTCGTTTTCAAAACATTTATTAAATAAACGTCGTTTCGTTTTCTTTTTTATTTTTTATTTCTCGAAATACGTAAAAATTGTTTTAAAAAATGATTCCAAATACACATTATGTTTTGTGTTTTGGTTTTCACTATTAAATATTTAGTCTTAATTATTTATAAAAAAAAAAAAAAACTCTTAGAATGTAAATTACTGTTTTACCCCAACAATAAGAACCGTTGGATCCGATCCGTAAATGTTCATATTAAGGGCCCGTTTAGTTCGCTGATTTGAATTTTTAATTCGAGTTGAGATATGACTTTATGTGAGAGCCCTTTACTGTAGCAAAAAAATTAGATGTGACTGTTTCTGATAACGTTTTACTGTAATAAAATTCGAATTCTAAACTCAAATCGGTGAAATGAACGGGAAGCACGCAATACAAAATTACTCACACTCACATGATAGACTGTTAAAAAAAATTAATCTAATAATTAAAAGAACTGATCCTCTAGATAACGATAGGATAAAACAACAGTTATTCTTACAAAATGAACAACTTTACGATGATTTGGGTTTTCTTGGGATTTCGTGGTGATGGTTGATAGGACGTACATAAGGCTTACGTGACAGATTTCACCAAACTCCACCTAATTATCAGAACTGTGTGTTGTAGGTTTGGCGTTTGACTCAGTGAGAACAAAGGCGTCGATGAAGCTCTTCCTAGATTTTGACACTTTTGTTCACACACAATCGCGCACACACGTGATTTCATGTATAGATATGTGCTTTAATCTTCATCTTTATGTTAGTCTTGAATGGCTATTTTTATCTTCCGATTTCTGACTAATTGAAAATTTGAAGTGTTTTAAGTCTCGTTTATTTTACCAATTCAATTTTTGTTATAGTAAAAAAGTTTAAAAAAACAGTCACATCTAATTTTTTTAATACAGTAAAAAATTTTTACATAAAATTACATTTTAACTCAAATTAAAAATTTAAATCAACACATGTGATTCTTGCTTGGACCTTTTCGTTTTCTTCTTTGTTTGTTTAATATTTCTTTTGAAGAAGGTGGGCAGTTTTTCTCTTATTGTAGGTACACAAGGGCATTAAAATTTTGTGGCTTAAAGATGCCTTTGTTCCTTTAGAATAATAATATCAAAAAAGTGCGTAGGAAAATTGATATAACTTTAAACAAATGCAACTAATATTATCTTTTTTTTTTAATTGAAATATAATTCCTAGATTGGACAACACTAATAGAACCTGGAAGGCGACGGCAGTATAAACAAGTTAAAACAAAAACAAAACAAATAGAAAAAAGCTCATTAAAGAACCAAAATAATAGTTGGGCACATCACTCCTTACTACTCTTCTACCTAATATCACTAATGCACTTTCTTAACTTTCTTAGGACAATGAAGATTAAGAAGAGTCACGTCTCATACATCATAAAATTATTTTATTTTTCAAAAAAAAAAAAAAAAAAAAACTCAACCAAGCCATGAATGTGAATATAATTTCAGGGTACAGCTTATAAATGTTGACAGGGCAATGGGTTCATATGTGGTGTACGTGAGTTGGCAAAGGGTCCATTGTTCCAAGCATGTGGAGTACAAATTTGGGATCCTCCTATCCTCCAAAGAGGCCAGTCACAAAACTAAAATCTGTCAGGCATCGTTCATTTCACCGATTTGAGTTTTCAATTTTAAATTTTTATAGTAAAAAATTTTTAAAAAATATCACATCTAACTTTTTTAAATATAATAAAAAATTCTTAAAAAATATCATATTTTAATTCAAATTAAAAATTTAAATCTGTAAAGTAAACGAGACCTACTACACCTGAATTTCACGAATACAAACACCGGTCAAAGCTCTCCCCCACGAGGAGAGTTTATTGGCCTGTCATGGATAGTAACAGCTAGCAGGGCAAAAAAAAAAAAAAGTTTATCCAACTTCATTCAGGAGATAGTGACGTTGGGACCCTTATTGGGTTGGGGGAATCGCACGCCCATAAATGCCGCCACATCCATTTCAATGAGTACTGCCTTTAAAAAAACGAGCCTCCATGATTATAGAGATCCGTTGCTGTATATATTATTGGAATTCCTATTATCTAAACTGTCCTCTCAGCGAAATGCCACTAATGCCCCTTAGAAATTGGACAAATATTTTTTAGCATCTTAGACTCACTATTATTTGAGTGATGAAGTTAGAATAAATATCGGCTGTATTTAAAATTGATCATATTTTTATTTTTCACATTTTTAAAAAATAAAAATAAAAATGTTTTTAAAACGACGTTTGACGTAATAAAGATAAAAAACAGAAATGAAAATGAATTTTTGGTTTAGTGTAAAATGAGAGAAAAATAAAAAATAACTTTTAGTCATTTTTTATTTTTATTTTCGTTTTCTCTTCTCTCGAACATAGAGAAAGAGAAAGAGATATTAATGGATTTTTTTATATTGAAAATAATATCTTAATAAAACTATCAAACACATTTTCAAAAATGATTTCTGTCTGAGATTGAAAACGTTTTTATTTTCATTTTCATATAAAAAATAAAATCATTTTGAAACGAGTTCTAAACACTCATCATTTTTTTTTTTTTTTTTTTTGCCTCTAATGGGTCCTAGCTTCCAAATCCTAACATTATTATGTTATATTGGACGAATATCACTAATGATAATATTGTTAGTCAAATCAGGGAGAATGCAAGATGTGATTTAATTAGGGATTTAATTAGGTTAATCTCACATACTTCGATGCTCAATCTGATATTCTTTTCCCTCTAAGCCTTGATCAAGAACCAGTCAAAATTTGAAATAAGCAATAATATGAAGAGAAAGACTGCAATACCGTAGGTGAATGGATATATACCAATACTGCTTAGCCTTGAGATGTCTAACTCTAACCCGGATATGTCATGATATACTACGTTGCCAATCAAAGGGAAAAAGATTATAGAGTTGCAGATAGAAATACCCGCGGATTAGTGATTTATTACTGCAAGCCAACAACCAGTGCAAGTAGCCAAAAGCATCATGCATGTTATCAACTAGTGCAAAGAATTCACACCAAACAGTTTTCCACGAATGACATAATTTGGTAAGGAAAATTTGGAAAATACTAATTTGGTAGGATCTGGATCCCACTTGCTGAGGAAAATGTCCTTGGCAAGGAGCACCCCTATTTAGGGCATGTTTAAGAGAGCTTCTTAAAAGCTGCTTTTGATTTCTTAGGTCTAAAAGCTACTTCTGAAAGTGTTTGAATGCTCTGTCAAAAGTGCTTTAACTTTTTAAAAGAGCTACCAGTTAAAGACATAAATTGTGGCTTTTAAAGAAAACACTTTTGAATAGATTTTGAAACTTGTATCAGAGTTTAATTAAGACATTATAAATTTAATTCCAATACTTTTATTGCTTATTAAAAAATTTTAAAATTATTTTGACCATTCATTTTTTTGTTCTAAACACTTATTAAAAAGTCACAACTCTTACTTCTCTTCTTCTACTGACTAAAAATAAAAGTAGAAACTCTATCAAACGAGCCCTTAATCTAAAAGAATTAGATAGGGTTCATTCATGGAAGTGGGACCACCTCATCATTTTGAGTAGGAATTCTTTCACAAAGAAAATCTTGAAATTCTAGTCTCTTTCGTTCTAATGCGAGATTTGACTCTTAACAAACTAATACACATTACTTCTTCCGCACACTAGTACTCCTAAAGCTGAATTTAGTTGTATTTAACGAGTATAAAGTAACAAAAACATTTATATTAGTTGCGGCTCTACTCTCAATGAGTCAAGTAAGGTCTGTCATTTGGTTTAGAAATTCAATTGTTAGAGT